TCTCATAGGTGAGTACGTTTTGGTAACATTTACTTAGGCTCATTTGATATTGCTCTCATATTTCACATTAGCCTCTTATCATATTGTCACCACATCATTAGCCTTAGCACATTAGCCCTTCATAATTACTCACCCCTTTTTTTTTACATGAATGTTCATTTCATCATATGCCAGTGCACTTGGCCTTTTAGTGTGTTTCACACTCTTAATTAACCCTTTTTGGGTCACATCATTCATCAGATAACATCTTAGGTTCACTTACTTTATAAATGTAAGCTGGACTTATGAGTCCACACACACAATCCATGAGGCTTCATTCGTAATTTGTCTAAGTGATTCATACTTACCCAAGGTTTTGTGGTACAAGACTTATGCATCTTGTAAGTATGCCAAGATCTCAGTTTCGATCCTTAAAGGCACCATTCATTTAATCATTCATTCACGTACGACTTATGTGTCAATACGGAATTGGGAAAGGGAACCCTCTTTCAAATCCCTTGTATAACACTTAATTTTCTTTATAATTTTTGTTGACATAAATTCTTGGCTAGGGAACCGTAGATCCATCCCCCACACCTACACTTCCTTTCTTTTATTTTCTTGATTTTTTGTCTTAAATATTTTGTCTAGGGGGGCCCAAGTTGAATCCCCACGCACACATTCCTTTCTTTTTCATTCTCTAGATTTCTCTGGTTAGACCAAGAGGGTGTGGGATCGATTCCCTCACAACCTCACCCTATTTTTTATTTATGTTTTCTCCTTACTTTCTCATTCGGTACCTCATTTTATTATTTAATTTTTTATAACTTGTATATGGTGAGGTCTTGGGTTCAATCTCCACTGACCTCATGCATTTTTTAAAAAAATTAAACTAAATTTTTTTATAGTAAGCTGACCGAAACCAAATATCCAAAAAGCTAGAAATTTGATCACCTTTTTGCAATCCATTTTCTCACCTTCTTTCACGTTAAACATTAAGACATTCCAAGTAGTTTTTAGGGAGATCCTTAGGTGCATTTTAAAGGTTACTTTAAGTCAAGACTTATCATTCAATTCAGCAACTTTGAACTCATATGAACATCACGTTTTTAACATATTCGTATACACATAATTTATAACATTTTTACATGTCAATATCAAGCTTCAAACCGTGTCTAATTCACGACACACACATGCACAATCAAGTTAACGAACTTCACATTTTCGGAACACCTCATTCATTTCTACATAATTCTGAATACACATTCAGACACGTAATCACAATCAACCCTAATATCATCTACCAAAAGTCATACCAATGCATACTTGAATTTTTCAAAGGATCTAATGACAGGGGCATGCAACAGGGACAACCATAGTTTTCGATTGTGAATAGACTGAGCCTTAGGGGTCTCTTGGGTAAGGGACCGAGAGGGAAGAAAACCCATACCTGAAGTCGTTCAAAGATGTTCTACCTGTTGCTAAACCCTCCCCCCCCCCCCACTAAGCCGACGTCTCACCACCAAAATCACAAGCATAATCCATCGAGAATTTGGTTTTTGCTTTTCGTTTTCAAGCTTATTTTGCTTTTGAGTTTTAGCGTTCAAGTTCTTGATGAAATTTATTTTTTTGTTATGTTTTTTTCTTGTATTGAAGACTAATTTTGCAAGTGAGGTAGAAGTAGAGAGATTTGTGAGAATGAGTGGTAGCTTAGGATTAGGAGATTTAGTTTTGGAATTAGTCAAACTAGGATTCCACATAAATTAATAAAATCAGATTTTTTGAAGGCTTAGGTGAAATTACAAATTATGCCCTTACTTAAATCATCCATTAATATAAATTAATAAATTTAACATTGCTTCCACCAAGGATCAAATCCGGGTGAAGCTTAACTTGCGAAAAAGTGTCAAATTCGGCCAACCTACCCGAATTCCCTCCTCTTTGAATTAATTAATTAATTAATTAAATACTTAGGATAATTACAATACTACCCCTAGCCTTGAAAAGACCATTTTACACCTAGACCTTCCAAACCTAAGATTATCCCTTTCAAGTCCGGTAAAAACTCATCCGGGTGAATCTCTTCAATTCGGGTGCCCTACATGGTTGGTTTTCACCTTGCCTAGCTCAACTAACTCACCAAGTTGGTTGGCTTGGCTAGTGCATAGGTTTTGAGGTCTGATTCTACGCGCAAAAAGCCGTGTGAACCCGGTCTAATCCATGCATTCTAGGTACGTTTAACCATTACTTAGCATAGTCATTTTCAGGTTGTTATAGTTTTTTACATCGACAAACCAACCAAACCAAACCCTAAATTGGTTTTATTTGTCGGTTTTAATTGGTTGTTCAGTTTGGTTTGACTTGTACTCCCCTACTTATGAGTATACAACTGAAAAAAGAAAAGATTGAAGAAACTGAGTAAAGGTTATACGAGTTGAGTTTGTGTGAAAACAGAATTTCTTATTTGTAGTTGAAATACCTTGTACCATCTAAGATCACTTCAATGTCTTAAGGAAGCTTTGAAACCCAAGGGGACTGGAAGTAGGCACCACATTGGTGTTCCAAACTATTAAAAGACTAACTTTTTGTTCACTTGCTGCATTTCTTATCTTTGATTACTGTGGTACTAACTTACAGGTGAGTCGACTAACCAATTTACGAAGTCGACGAAGGGAATTTTTTAGTTCACCCCCTCCCCCCTTCCCTTTACTTTCACGGTCATCGTCAATAAAACTTCTCAACCAAAAGTCTGGATCGAATCCCACAAGGAATAATATAATGGCAATTGAAAAGACAAAGGCTAACTGGATACTATCTTGAACCTAGATATACAAGATAAAGGAATATCAAATTGAAGGCAATTTTTGTAAAACCACTTCAAATGGGGCAAAGACGATATCAAGCAATGAATGTGTGGGAATTAGGAAAACTTGAGATTCAATCAACACTCAATGATTCATTGAAATTCAATCCATAGTCATTGAATCAGTAATGGGTAGGATAGGTCATCGTCAATTATGCTAAAGATTTTGATCTCATAGCGTTTTATTGTGATATCTTTTTTCAATTTTAATCACTCAATTACAAAATAACCCACTACCTTAACTTAGACCTCTCTTAGAAGGAAGTCTTGCACCCAAATATGAATTCCTAAACCTTCATTTTTTTATCTCAAATTCAAGATTCAAAGTCAAAATTCAATTATCAATCAAATTCTCCATGCCAATCAATTTATTGCGAGCATCAATCGTATATCTGAAGCTTGAATTGAGCGTGTACTTTCAACCTATAAATTTAGACATGAAAACTAGATTGAACCTATTTCATGAAATCAAACATGGAAATAAGGAACTACAAAAGCAATAGAATAATTAATCAAACAACCAAATAGCTTTTGTTGTCTATTTCTAGCACAAAAGCCTCAATTTCATACAAGTCATCATACCTACATTTCTAGCAATTAAGAACAAGAAAATGAAGAAACAATAAAAAAATATTACTAAATTAGAACACAATCTTCAAATCCACAACTGAAATGTGAGGCAACTTCTCTTCAATATTGTCTTAACCCCTTAATCAATAACACAAAGAGATTTACTTTTTGAATGTGTTTATCTACATGAAGTGCTCTCTCTCTCTATTATTCTTGGATGATCAATAATGCCAACTTTAACCCTATTTTCTAAATTTAAGTCGAAATCTTGAGAATTTCTAATCCTGCCTCCTGTCTTAAAAAAGGGCTTCGTAGAAGTGTCGGAGGTTCACATATGTGACGGAGGTTCGCGGAAGCGACCTTTGCAAAAATGAATTGAAGTTCGCTTAAGCGACCTCGACTCTCTATCCCAATTTTCAAAAGTGAAAACTACGTTCTCTCTTAAGAGGACACTTAACTTCGTTGACGGGTTCGCTTAAGCGACCAATGCTCAGCAGGTGCGATACTTGGGCGTGTTTCCCTCCCAGGTTTTGCTCTTTTTCAAATGTGATTCCACTTTTGGTCAGCATTTTCTTTCCCATCATTAGAACACCTAAAACAACACAATTTAAAGCATAATTGGCCTCTTTCCTTACTCTGTGTGCCACAAAATTATAAGAAAAGAGCTTTAAATGAATGCAAGTTCACCACTCATCAATTACATATAGATATGACTATCCAACTTGTTGTTGGTTTCAAATCATAGTAGTTGTTGAGATTGATTATGTTGTTGTAAATTTAACTATAATAACAGAAAATGAATATTCTTATAAACTAATGTGATTGAAATTGTATCCTCACAAAGAATTGATTCCGGTCTTCGGTAATCATACAAACTATATGAATTTGGGGTTATACTTATAGACTTGCATTCAGGGTCATGCATTAGCATTGACCACTCAGTCTATTTCGAGTTTATGAATGGTTGATCAATAAAATGCTTCCGCAACTGCATGAGTTATTATCAATGAGAATATGACCAATAATATGTGAATTAGATTCAATTATGCCTAATGTGAATCTATCAAACAACAAGGGTTAACAAGGGTCCCAAAATAATTAAATATAGTCTAAACTCTATTTCTCTGTTTCACTTAAAAGAGACTTTTAAATCTGTCTTCTCAAATTAAGGAATGATTGATTATTAAACCTTTTAACTGCCCGTGTATTATATATACTAGGGAAAAAGACAAATGTACCCCCGAACTATCGTAAACGGTTCCTCCGCCGTACTTTAGGAACATTGGTGCCCTTGTCGTCCAAAAACTAGAGCATATATACCCTTTATACTAACGGACATATACTTGTCATAATCTTATTCACCGACTTGACATTGGATTAATGGATAAGATTGTGTCACGTATCCCTATGTAGTCTTCCGTTAGACTGAAAGGCATATACGTTATAGTTTTTGGACGGCATGAGAACCAATGTACCAAAAGTGTGACGGAGGATATCTGTAATTTATGATAGTTTGGGATATTTTAGACCTTTTACCTTCATATTTAACATAAATATTTCTTTATGCATTCCTATGGGAGGCCAAAAAGTAGTCAGATAATAAGGGGATTCTATTGGATGAGTAGCCATTATTTTCTCCGTCAGAACAAAATAGCATAACGTGTGTTAGGTTAGGCATCCAATATGATTAACTCTCATAACAAATTAAGAAGAATCAAAAAATAATTTGGTTGTCAATTACCCATTGTGATTGATTGTTAGGTATAATTGTTTGATGATATAGAAGATTAATGGAAGATAGGGACGGGGATTTTAGAGTTTCCCTTATATCTTTCATTTTTTGTATTTGTGTTGTTATTGGTGGTGTATTCCTTGTCATCTATCTTACCCTGCCTAAATTTTCTCAGTCATGGTTCCTTTTATTAGCATTGATATTGGTTGGCTCCCCATGGCTCTTTTGGCTCCTAACGTACATGTACACTTGCATTAAACGTTGTTATTGCAATATTCACAATCCACAAATCTCTGCACCATCCACAATGTCAAATCTTGGAACCCCTAGGAATGTTTTTTCTACCAGAAAGTCCACATGTTGTTGTCATCATAACAACAATTATGATGTCAAATTTGATTGCGTTGTGGAAGTGGAGGAAAATGGATATAACCACCAACATGGAGAAAATGTATGAGTTGAGTCTTGAAAGGGATCGAGAATTAAAGCTTGATGGATTCATTTTTAAGGTTTTTATAATTGATCAACGTAATTCACTTGTATTTGTCGACATTAATTGCTGTATATGCTTCATGTGGAAAATATTGTACGATCAAATCTATCAAATAAAACGTATGGTCCATTTGCCATGCATGTAAATCCCCATATACTTCAAGAAAAACTAATAAGTTCAAATGAAATCATTAAATATATGGGTGCATCCATCTCTGAGATCAAGAGTTTTTATACCAGGACAGCCCAGTGCAGTAAAACTTTTGATGTGTTCGGGGTTCAGAGCGAAGGACCGAACTACAAGGGTTTATTGTACATAACTCTATCCCGCATTTCTCCAAAAGGTTGTTTCCATGACTTGAACCAACTTTACCAGTTCCGGCATACAGAAGATGAAGAAAGACATATGATGTTCAATGTAAGTAGAAATAACATAAATGTTTATTTTGTTTATTATTGTGCAGTATATATTATGTGAATATTATAAAACAAGCCCTTGTTATTTTTGTTCTTTTCTTTTTCCTCTTGAAACATCAATCTTAACCTAGTCTTTTTTATTCTGATGAATAATGTGACTTGAAAAGTGTGTTTATATAGTGAACCATCTTATTATATTGCAGATTTGATATTTTGAAGAATTATTTTTAAAAAAAAAAAAAGTATAGTTCTTATTTATATTTATTTTTATGTGTATAATAAGCAGAAAATATCTTCATTTTCTTATATTATGGTATTCTGGTCACACAGATATATAATGTGTCAAGAGTCATTTCCAGTCAGAGAGAAGATGGTATAAATGGAATGATAGAGAAATAGTTAAGAAAGTGAGTTTACCAAGAAATTTATGCTAAACACATTGTACTGCATTTGTGATTACTTTGAAAAGAAAATCTTTAAGTGTTTGGTGTACAGTTAAGTTAAGGCATGGACACATAGTTTCAACTTTGATGTCAAAACATATGATTACTCCAAAGACACGATGATCTTGGATCATAGTCGAACCAGTTAAGGATGATGTGGGCTTGCACATCCACTTATCATGAAAGATTTTCATGGGAGAGTGGAACATCTTAGAGAGTAAGTTTGTTCCTACAAACAGTCGCTTAGCCATTTCACATTTGTAATGAGGGCTCCACAATTTCTGATTAACATTCAATTCTTACCATTTCATAAGCTTTACAATAAAAGGCTCTGGCAACTATATATATATATATATATATATACTACCATTCTACTTTCTTTATTATACTTCTTGCACTTGTTATCGTGCATTCAAATACTGCTTGTCCTACAATAATTCGGGAGGTTGGTGGCCCATCGAGAGTTGCGGGACACAAACTCTTGAACCACTTACATGTGAATGTAGCATCTGGCTCACATGGCCCACCTTGAGGCTATAATTTTGTCACATTCTAATTACCCATACAAGAAAATAAGAGGAAATGCCTACTCATATTTAAATTGACAAACATTTTTATTGACAAAATACGGATGCCAATGGGGACATGGCATATTACTGTTACTTACCCATAGCAAAACAATTTTCCATGTTCATATAGGACCACAATAGATTAACATTATTGGAGTGAAATAGATGTTGCCTTGTCAGTACTTTTTACTCACTCTAAGATGGAGGGGTTTAGCAAAGCTCAAGAAATATCAACTAAACAAACATTTAACAAAACCAGCATCACAAATTTCCTGCTGTCTTGCGCACAAACCCAGCAATATCAAAAGTGTCTGTCCCATTCTTCGTGATGACACCCTATTCAAATAGTAGTCACTTATCAGGCTTATCATTCGACTTATTTGACCAGAACATAAATAGTGTAGTGTTCCAAGTGCACCACCATACAAGTGCAACTGTGGGATAGACAGAAAAATGGGAGTGAGAGGCAAATATACAAATAGACTGACCTTCTCAGTGATGATTCCACTAATCAACTTAGCTTGGGTGACATCAAATGCAGGGTTCCAAACCAAAATACCAGAGGCAGCAACTTGTTCACCAAGTCCTCCTCGTGTATGTAACAGTTCCTTTGGAGATCTTTCTTCTATCACAATTTCTTGTCCAGAAGAAAGAGATAGATCAACAGAAGTCAAAGGCGCTGCAACGTAAAATGGTATACCATGATGCATGGCAGAAACAGCAAGGTTGTAAGTTCCAATCTTATTGGCAGTATCACCTGCAATAATATGTATAGCTCTCCATAAAACACTCTAGTTCCAAAACCAAAAGGCACATGCAAAAGTAACTCATAAGTCAGAAGTACCATTTGCAGCTATACGATCAGCTCCAACAATGACAGCTTTCACACGACCAGCATTCATTAATGCAGCTGCAGCTGAATCAGCTATAAGGGTGGCTGGGATGTTCTCATGAACCAATTCAAATGCAGTCAATCTGGATCCCTGATATTACAAAGAGAAGATATGATAAAGTAATCTTTCTCCAACTGTCTCCAGTTGGAGGCCTGATGCAGGATGGCTCAAATGGTAGTCAGACAATCAAACAAGCAAAGAAGCCTTTCAACAAGGCAAATCAGAAGTATTGTCCACCATCAAATTTCAGTTGAACATATAATATTAGGTATCTGACTTAGGGATAGCAATGGGGCAGGGCGGATGTGTGTTGGGAGGGGGGTTGAACAGATGCGGGGCGGAGCGGGGCAGGTTGGGTCTATATCAACATACTTAATTTTTTGTGGGTGCAGGGCTGGGGCGGGGGCGGGGGCAATAATTTCATGTTCGCACTATATTATTAGCCTGGAACTGAAGGCTAAACTTTACACATTTAGCATGCAAATTATAAAAATATTAAACATGTTAAGCGAACTTTCTTTTTTATACCAAAATATAGAATCTCCCCTTAATATTTCTATTCCATTTTTTTAGATTAATAAGAAAATTACAATGGACTATCTCAAATTTAAAATCTAAAAAAAGTTTCTGTTTCAAAATGACCAATGATTACTGGAACTAAAATTGTATTCTTATGAAAATATTATTTATAAATTAAATATCAAAGCAAAATTGTTTTGAATCGCTCTAAATAATGCATAAAAATAAAATAAAAAAGTGATTCACAATTTGGCGCGACTTAACTGAATAAATGGTATAGATTTCGAGATTTATTAGTCAAGTTTATTAAAATTAAGCTTTAATCTTTGTAGAATATTAATGCATGATTTCATCTTAACTTCAATAATATAATAATGTTAGTTTCTTTCTGATATGTTTGAAATGTTGTTAAAAAGGTTTACAACTTTTGAGGTACTAAATTTTTGCTTAATCAAATTTTAATTTTGTAATAGCCAATAATCAGTAAATCATATACTAATTAAAATGAATAAGTTTATGCTGAAAAAATAATATTTTTTTATGTGGGACGGGGTGGGCGGGTTTATGAGGGTTGGCGCTCGCGGATTGAAATCAATATTTTTACTATGCGGGGCAGGGCGGGTTGAATTTTTGTGGGTTGAAGCTCAACCCGTCCCACAACCACCCCGACCCGCACCATTGCCATCCCTAATCTGAGTCTTCAGTACATGATTGCTGAAGCTGTAGTCAATGAGAACAGGTATATATTCATCAAGTAGAAAACATGTTTTTCACAGGTTAATCTACTAAAGTCTAATCTTTCTCTCGCACTTATAAACCAAAATGCACATAAGAGGTTCCAATAGAGGCGGAGCATAGTATGATCGGATCTTCTTCTTTAACTTTTTTAATATTTACATTTTCATTTATTTTGGGGGATGGGGATGGGGAAGAAGAGAAGAGTGGTGGTCGTATTGAATTATAACTATTAAAACTACTGGTGTTCCTTCAAATATGATGCTGATGAATTGAGGAGTTCAATAGCAGTTGTTTAACATTTTCTATAATAAAATGCTGATGAATACAGGAGTAGGGGGTAGCAGTATAATAACTCCGAGTTTTCACCAAAAATAGACTAGAAACTCCTTTTTCAAGTCCCTTGTTTAATTCTTCTTGATTTTGTATCTGATATCTCTGACCAAGGTATTATATGTTAACCTATTTTTGTTTGATCTGAGTACGCAAAAAAAGGGCAAAAATCGATGCATGGAATATGCTACTAGACCAATATTCATGTCACGACCCTCAAGGCGGTTATGTGTTATTCGCTTTTTTTTCAATTGTTTGACCCTTCTCACAGCATTGGTTAGCTGTTTATGACTTGCGGCAATGAGTGATATGCTTCCCAAGGTGATTGAATAGGTTTCGGGAGAGTTTTTGAGTTTTGAAGTTTGACCAAAGTCCTATTTGGGGTTGGTGAGGTCAAATTCAAGTTCTGATGATTCCACTAGATTGAAAGGGTAATTTATGACCTAGTTGGATGTTTGACAGGGTTCTCGAGGCAATTGGGGGCTTTTTAGACCCTTGGATGGAATTCTTACATCTCTTAAATTTAAAATTGACCACTAACAATATTTGGTCAAGATGACCTCGAAATGGTGATTCGATAATTTCAACATTGTCAGGAACGTATTTTATGATCGGTTTGCCTACTACTTTGTGTTTGCGGAAGCAGAGATGGAGCAATTTGCAAGGGTCTGGGTCGAGACTCAAGTCATTTTCCGCAGTCGTGAAGAACACCTGAGACCGAGGCATATTAAATTCTAATTTCGAACCTAGAATTCTTGATTAAATTTTGGGATATTTTGAGCTTGAATTGAGTAGATTTTAGAAGTTATTTCAAGATTTAATCGCGGGGGTAAGAGTCTACCTCCCCTTGAGTATGTTTCTATAGATTTGTCGTTTATTTAGTTGATTTACCACGTATAGGTAATGAAATTTGGGGATTTTTCTCCTAAAGTTAAGTGAACTCAATTTGATGATTTGAGGGTTGTTTTGAACACCATTTTCTACGAAATTTCAGATTTCAGTTCCCTGTCTTATGGGTAAACTGATTTCGAAGAAAACGATCTGTTTAAATTGATTAAATGTGGCCTAAGGACACCGTTTGAAAGTAAATCCATTAGTGAGGACGTTTATAGCCTATGGTATTAGTTGGGAGAAACACATTCTTAAATACCTATTGCATTTGAAACTGACTTTATTACTGTGATAATGCATATACATTCATTCCATGGATCACAAGATTGTACTATGGAAACAACGTTTGAAAGAAAATACTTATAGCCAACAGAAAATGATTTCGGATGGATCTACTATGGATGGTATTATATAAGGAAGTGCTTATTATTGCCCGACATGGAATGCTTTTGAGCGGGGTATGTAGATCTCGTGAATCCTCCAAGGGTCCCCTCTCACATGGATGGGGGTGTGCACAGTAGGGATATTGGTCATTGCATTGGTCCTTATTTATTTATTTTTACTTTTTTGGGGGGGTTTCCCACCCGGTATACAGTACCCACATTAGAGCCTAATTAAATCTGCATTCACGTTGGAAAGTCCCCACATTGCAAGGTACTGCTCTCCCTCTCCTTGCTCTCCCTGACAAAGGCGACTCCATACCCAAGGAGACTCGCTTTGACTTAATTGTTGGGTTCTTCTAATTGCAGGGTTTTTATCATTCTTTATAATACAGTTATTGCCCTTGCTCAATCAACCTTATAATGCGTAGTGAAATACCATGTCTTTGTACTCATACTACTTGTACATCTTTACTAATGTATATCCTGGTACTAGCGTTCCTTATTGATCTAATTATCCGAGGTTATTTCTTATTTGAAGTTGTGGTAAGCTCATTGCGTCCAAAATGATGGCCCAATTTTTTCTTTGTTTTACTTTCTGTCTTTTCTACTTTCTAGACAATTTATTATTTTAGCCTTGTGTTCGTTATTACTGAGTTCTTGTACTGGTGAAACTTAGTCTTGGGATGGCTTCATTTCATCATTTTGTATTTTCCTTAAGATATTGAGTTTTACTACTAATTACTTATTGATTATTTCTCCGCATTTAGTCATAATGTTTCTGTGTTTAGTAATGGATTACCTACCAAGGGTTCGGGTAGTTGCCATCATGACCTTGAATTTTGGGTCATGACAATTTAACACTAACCAGTAAAAGGTTACTATCAATAGAATACTATGGTATAACTGCTAAGGGGATGAGTTCACTTATGATACCTAGAAACACACTTCGCTCTTAATTACCATAAACATTTACTATGACACGGCTAAAAAAATTGACAATATAGGTGAAAGAAGAGGAAATTACATATGGTGGAGCATTATAGGAAGAGAAAGAGGGATTTACATATGGTGGAGCAGTATAGGTAGTAGAAGCGGGACTTAACTTTGGTGTTCACAGAGTTTTGGGAAGCGAGAAGCCGAAAAAAGCGACAAGGGCTCGCTTTACAGAAGCGAAGAGCGAAGCGCGCGCTTTTTTTAGTAAAGTGTTATTTAGTATAAAAATAAAAAAAATATTAAATAATTGAACAGAGGTAATATATTATTAGATTATCAGTAAATAGATAGTCAATAATCATCATAAGTCATATAAAGCAAAAGCATAATTAAATCACAAAAGAATCACTCGCAGCCTCACACAGAAAAAGAGAAGAAGAAGAAGAGAAAAAGAAGAGAAGAGAACTTACAAGCTACTACCAAAACTTAAAGGTAAGTTGTACAGAGTGGTGGTTAGACCAACTATGTTGTATAAGATAGTGTTTTGGTAGGTCAAGAACTCACATGCTTATAAAATGAAAGTCCAAAGATGAGAAGGTTGAGGTTAATGTGTAGTCATACTAAGAGATAATATTAGGAATGAAGATATCCATGATAGAAAAGGAATGGTCTCTTTGGTGAATAAGATGAGAGAAGCTAGATTGAAATGATTTGAGCATATGAAGAAAAGTTTACATGCCCTAGTGAGGAGGTGTGAGAGGTTGGCAATGGCGAGCATTGGGAGAGGTAAATATAAGTTGAAGGAGTATTGGGGAGGTGATCACAAGACATGACCCATCTTGAGCTTACCGAGGATATTATCTTAAATAGGAGGATTGGAGGTTGCATATTAGCATATAAGATAAGTTGGTAGTTAAGCGTTCTCTCGCTTTCCTGTGGGATAGGATTGGTGGTCGATTTCAATTATCAACTATGTTTCTTGTGCAACAGTAATCACATTTTTTTGTTGGCATAACTGTTCTTTCTGCTAAATGTTGTATGTTGCAACATTCACACTATTAAGTTATTGTTACTGCTATCATTTTTGTATTCTCTTTTCAAGTGCTTGGAAATACTTTATTATAAGTAGAGGGTTTATTGGAAACACTCTCTGGGTTGGGGTAAGATTTGTGTACACTCTACCCTCCCCAGATCCAATTTGTGCGATTATACGGGGTATATTGTTGGCTATAAATTAGCATTATTCTGCAATAGTTATTTTCTTTTTTTTTTTTTTGAAAAACTCTATTTTCTGCAGCCTAACAAGGGATAACCATCAATAGGTTAATTGCTAAAATCTCTACTGGTTGACTCTACCAGGGTTGTTAAAAAAAGAATAAACTATATCTCTGCACTACCTGATTGAATGGACGGGTTTCTGTGCAGTATGCCCTTTCTAAAGCTCCGTCAGCATAAAGTGCCCGGATAACACCAAGAGCAGTTCCATATCCAGCTGTGGCAAGACTGTTGAGAAACGCAAGAAAAATAAGAATTACTCCATCTGGATATCTAATCCTTATCACAATTGTTCTCGTTAATCCTGTCACAGAATTATATTTTGCAATTTCCGGGAGGATAATAGGATATGGAAGAAAACCATGCCAAGCCAAGTAGGATAAGAACCAATCAACCATGCAAATAAAATAGAAAACTAGAACTGGGGTGTACCTTCCGGTGTTGCAATGGGTCAAAATTGTTATATTCTTAGAGTCTGTCAGGTAATTCTTAATAAAACTAGCTCCATATGAACCAATTGCCTTATTGGAAGTAACATCATCCTCCAGCATAACTTCAGCAGCTTCAATGTAAGCCTGATTGAATAGATGAGAGTTAGAAGTGTCAAGCAACAGAAAAAAAGGATAAAGCAAGTTAGTACATTCCTATTGTGAAACTATCCCCAATTATGTTGTGCCCCTCTTCCAGTCTAGGCTTACATTACTGATGAAATAGTTAATATTTAGACAGGAGAACTGAGTGTTTGTAAAAGCAAGACAATATTATTACCTGAAACACTGAATTGGCTTCTTTGGCTATGGCAGCAGCCTTGCTTATAACTTCTTTAAGCTTTACTGCAGAATCTGAAAGATTAACAGCTGTCGGACGACTAGATAGAAAAAATAAAATATCATCAGATCCTTGGAAGAAGTTGAACAGCAAAGATTTCACAATTATGAGACATAAGCAGAAAAATATTTTTGCAGTCCTAGTTGAATATTACCTTGAAACAAGAAAATCCAATTTTTTACTAAGGAAAACTGATGCATCATGAGAAGTCCCATCAAAAGAAGCTAAATTTGAAACTTCTACTGCCAAAGACAGTGCAGCAGCTATAGCAATTGCAGGTGCCCCACGGACAACCATTTCCTTAATTGCATCCCTAGCGAAGCCAAGTGAAAAAAGCAGGTCACTCAATATTCAAGAAGCTTATTAGGCATCATCACAACAGTCGGCAATTCCACATACACATCATTTATCCGGGAAGCATATGCACTAGCAAGAGTAACAGCATTAATGTTTCATGAATCAATAATGCCAAACAAACATGAGGATCATCTGCTACCATTCCACTTCATGATTTGTTATATTATAAATCATTTAGAATATTCGGGAGCAACAACTTTTGAGATTAAAAAAAAAGCAACTGAAATACAAGAAGTTTGGAAAACAAAACAAGTGAAAAAATTACCAGGCATCGTTTGTATCGTGGATATCCAGATGAAGAGTCTCTAGGGGGAGTTTTCGCTGTTAAAGAAAATAGTCAAATGTTAAGTAGTGTGTGGCAAAACATGAAAACAACAATCTTAGGAATCGTAATCTTGTTCAGATTAAGGAATAAAAAGAGAATATCGTAGAATACTTGATCAAGTAACTGAAGTGAGCCGCGCCTATAACAGATTGCCTCCAGTGTTTTGTCTCCTCCACTCCCAACAGACATTGTTACCGAATGTTGTGTGTACACAAACCCTAATTCGTTGATTGCCCTTGGTCACGGACCAAACTTATATGAGTGAAAAACAAGAGGAATATGATGATAGGATTAGGATCCACATAAACAGTCTTTCCATTCAAATAGAATAAGCATAAACAGCATGAAACACATGCTCCAGGCCCCAGGCCCCAGGCACTTATTCCCTTACCAAATGAAAAAGAAACAAAAACCAGCACATATTATCCATAACTATCAAATAAACCCTCTTTTTTTTTACTTCTTTTTTCTCAAAACTACCCTTCCCATCTTATGTATCTCACTCTATTTTATTCTACAAATATAGATATAGAGTTCTATATTTTTTCAAATAACCAACTACAACTGAATTCTCTATTTTACACTCTAAAAAAAAATATTTTTCTCTCTCCTTAATATTATATTATTCTTTTTTCATTTTTATTTCTTAATAAATTATTTATTTCTTTTTTCCAATGATAACTTTATATAATTCTAATGTGATAAAAATTTTATTTTTTCAAATTTTTTATTTAATATAAATTATATTTTATCATTAATTTTTGAATATCATAAATTGCACGGAAATTTTATATAATATGTAAATTAATGAATAAATTCAAATAAAAATAAAATACGATTGCA